CTGTTACTTCATATAACTGTGTCATAACACACTGTAGATAAGTCACTAGATACAAGAAATCAGTGTGGTATACATTTCTCTGTTACTTTATATAACTGTGTCACAACACACTGTAGATAAGTCACCAGATACAAGAAATCAGTTTGGTATACATTTCTCTGTTACTTTATATAATTGTGTCACAACACACTGTAGATCATACCTATCTATAAAGTGTGTAACATCATCAGAAATGTCTACATTTAATACTACAGATTGTTGTAACTTTATAAATTGATATTTGAAAGAAAGTAAATTTTTTTATAACTCTAATATATTTATATAAAGAAAAGTTTATCTTGATTTTATACACTTTGTAAATTTGTATATAAAATTTATTCATACAACCGGAAATATTTGATGTCGAATTTACATTTCAAATATTTTATATTTCACATGTACTGCAGAAGAATTTGAAATGCCTACTCTTTCTTTTAAAATATGTTTTAATCTTTAAATATTGATTTCTAAATAGACTTTACTGTGAATACTATGCTATGCAAAGAAAAGAAAGAATTCAGCACCAGGTATAAAGGTATTTATGTGTGCCTGTGCCTTAATGTTATTGAGATCTTTAAGTTCTGAAAACCAAAACTTTAATATAAATATATGTTATTCACTGGGTACATTGTAAATAGAAACATGCTATTGCTGTAGATAATTCTAGCACAATGTTGTAATTTACAGAGAAATCTCCCTGACTGAGGAAATCAACACGGGATTCTGTCATGGAGAGAAACCGCAGTAAATAAATGTCTGCTGAAAATGATGTATAGATTTGTGTTACAGAAATCAGTCAGAGTGACAGGGGTTACTCGTGGTTATCACATTTCCCGTGTATCATCAGACCGCGTCTGGATCAGCGATGGTAACAATCTCATCTTGACAAACACAGCAGGTGATAGACTACATCATCTGACAGGTATACCCAGTGGTCTGTTTAGTTATGGAGTACACACTGTGAACAATGACGGTGATTTAATTTATATAGATAGTGACTATAACATCAACAATCTGTCTAAGGATGACAGAATAAAGACTACATTAATAAAGTACAAAGCGCCATGGAGACCACAGAGTGTCTACAGCTCCCTCTCCACTGGAGACCTGCTGGTCGGGATGTATTACTACACTATTGATACATTTACAGGCAAGGTAGTCCGGTATAACTCCACAGGAGACCACATCAAGACCATACAACACCACCACAACACAGGTCATGGACTGTATAGTGATCCTGGATACATCACAGAGAACCATAATGGAGATATTATTGTGTCTGACATTAACCGTGTAGTTGTGACAGATCGTAGAGGAAGACATCGCTTCTCCTACAGAGGACCTCCATCAGGATCAGGACTAGAACCACGTGGAATCTGTACAGACGAGCTGTCACACATCCTGGTGTGTGATTATAATACTGACTCAGTACAGATGATTGACAGTGACGTTTACTTCCTGTCACATATACTGACACCACGACACGGGATAGGCAAACTATTGGGCCTGAGTTATGATGTTAGATCACACCTACTGTGGGTAGGGTCACAGAACAGCGATACAATAAACATATACAGAGTGGTAGATGAAGACTCTCTGTCCGGTAAGTAACACTGTAGTTTGTTTAATTGTATTGTACAGTTATAATATTACAACAACAAAATAACTACGTTATGTTAGAGAGGTCATTCAATAATAACTTTACATGAATGTATTCAAGTGTTTATTTACAAATGTTATAGTTTGATCACAAATGATTACTCAATGTATATCAAAACATTTAATATCTAATAATATTTATAAACCTGCCCCGAAGGAGAGGGTGGTATACTGTTTTACCCCTGTGTGTCGGTCTGTCTGTTCTTCCGTTACAAATTCCTGTCGCAGTTTTCTCAGCAACTACAAAAGGCAGATTCTGAAAATTTTAGCGCACTCCATGTTTAGGCAAATGGTGAGATTCGTTTTTATACAAATCCGATGTCATCTTCCTGTTCATGCATGCATCTGTCCATTCGAAATTATTGTTGCAGTTTCTTCTGCAAGTACTCATGGCAGATGCTGAAATTTAATCACACTCCTTGTTTAATTATGCCTAATGGCAGGATTCATTTTTGTACAAATTACCGTCGCAAATAAACTTGTGTATATTCACATTATAGTATATTAAAACCAGAGCAGGGGTATTACTAATGAGCATTTGCACACAGACTTCTTGTTATATACTGAAACGCAAAAGAAACGCAACATCCTATTTTAGGGGTAAATATTAAATATAGGATATAATTTTGTATCTAAAAAGTAAGGACATCTTCAACTTTGTAAACATCGGTAATTTAACGGTTGAACGATTTTCATACCATTACCGGAAGTTAAGTTTTAGTCCGCTTACCAGCAATCAAAAATTGCATGTTTAACAAAACATTTGGCAATACTATGGGGTTTTAAGGATTTGTATGTGTTCATCATAAGTGATGCAGCAATGTTCCGAAAAATAAATTCTCCTTTCTTTTCCGTAAACGATGCCAAGGCTTCCTAAAGATGACTTGAGTACACATTTCCATAGCTCTAGCTGGAAAATCTCAAAATAAAGGTGATGGAGAGTTGCAGATGCAAATATGCACCACAGCACGCCTCAACAGGCTCTTACGTATCACTAGCATGAATGAGAGTCTTTGGACCGGAATTCGACCTCATCATCTGAAAAACAGGCACTTAAAATGGCAAAGAATATTTCTTTCGCTCAGATCTCGAGATTGATGAACCTATTGCATCGTAGAAATCAAGCTGCAACTGTTGCACATAACAGTCTTGCACGCTGTAAATGACCGGGGTGGGGGTGTTTTAACATTCATGTGTTACTTTATAAATTAAAAGATAATCAATTAACATTTTTATCAAATCTCTGATGTTTTTTTAATCGAGTTTTACCTTAATATATTCATTTTTGAAAGCATTAGATAAAAAATTCAAATATTTGTAGATTACCGCTTATTGCGTTTCTTTTGCGTTTCAGTATATATATATATATATATATATATATATATATATATATATATATATATATATATATATATATATATATATATATATATATATATATATATATATAAAGCACTGAAAATGACCAACGACACGAACAATAATAGTTGTCAAATTTTCGCGACGACCTGTCCCTCCTCAGGACAAAGAAAAAAGTTAAGAAGTCTTAAAAACAAAGGAAATAGAGAAGCAAAAACAACTAGCACTACTACTAAACTACCAAACACTAAATATCTACAATGTTACATGTTTAATTTGGAGTTTATAAACAGTTATGAACAAAGAAATCCGGAGCGCTTTGAATTGCGTCCGGTCTATCGGGTGTACTCTGGTGAAGTGTGATTTACATAATTGAACGAATTAATTATCGCTAATTAATTACGACCAATAGTAAATCGTACATTGTCTTATTCTCTCAAAATAGCGTAACTCTACATGATAAAAAGAAATTAAAGAAAGATAATATGGAAGGACAATTTTGAAATATGAATTTGGATATATTATAAATTTGGAAATCGGAAAAAGGAAATAAACAAAAATGTAAGCTGTAAATATTTGGGTAGGTTGTTCCAGGATTGCTAATACGAATTAACGGTAAAGTTTACACTATATAGAGAGAATTAACTTGTTTGTTACAATCCGGGATTGGGTCTAGTTCACGTTCATCCTGGTGAAGTCATTAAGTTTGTTAATACCATTAGGGCGGAATGACTTCAGGCTGTGCATCCAGAACTTTTCCTTGCCTTTTCTCTGCGCGTCTGTCCATCTTGGATTATGGTCAATAACCACTACTGTCATGTCCTCCCATTTGTGACCTTCAAGGTTGAAATGTTCCCCAACGGGTTCATTGAGTTTTTTGGTCCTAATGGTAGAACGGTGATTATTGACTCTCCTGCGAAGATCTCCTGTTTCACCAACATACTGTTTGGAGCAAACTTTGCAACTGATGAGATAAATGCAGTTGTCTGTTTGACAGGACAAATTCCCTAATATTTTGTAGCTGCGGCCTGTAACGGGGCTGTTAAAACTGTCTGTGTCAGAGCTGTACTTACAGAGAAGACATCTTCTGTCAGAGCAAGTTTTAAAGCCCCCGTTAGGTAATGGATTGTCCAATCTGGTTCTTACTACCATGTCCTTTAGGTTCATCGGGCGTCTGTATGCAGCAATGGGGGCTCCTTAAAGACCTCTGCCATTCGTTTATTTGAGTGGAGAATTGGCAGATTCTTTTGAAGGATACCGCTGAGGTTCTTGAGAACGGGATGGTATGTGGTTACCAGAGGGACCCTGTCGCTATTGTCTTTTTCCTTGTAGCGTAATAGGTTTTGCCTGTCATGTCCCGCCATCTCATCAATAGCAGTTTGTACGGTGCGGGCATTGTAGCCTCTCTTGCATAAGTGGGACTTAAGGAGACCGCTTTGTTCTTGATATAAGGCAGGGGATGAACAGATGCGCCGAATTCTGGTGGCTAAATATTATATATATATATATATATATATATATATATATATATATATATATATATATATATATATATATATATATATATATATATATATATATATATATATATATATATATATATATATTATACCTCCAATTAGAATGAAAGACTCTGATTGGTTAATGAGAAAACATTAAAATTAGCTTATGACCCTTTTTTGTGTCACATGACCATTAATGACTTGATTGTTGTATGTGTATGAGATATTGACCGGTCATTAATATTATTGACCGCTGAACCTGACCTGTGCAGAAAATAAAAATGGCGGAACATATGACCGCTTCGTTTTTTTCTTCATGTTTACTGTACCGTTTTTAGATAAAGAGTATAACTGTAAGTTATTCTTGAGAAATAAGATATAGACTATAAAATTGTGTACTACGTCACTTCATGTGTTATTTGTCGTCTGTTTACAAAAACGATGGCTGGCGAATCGAGGTTTGCAACTTTGACAAGTGAGGAACTACAAGCAATCCTAGAAAACCGCGATAGTTCCAACACAAAACAATGTATAGACTCAGCGAAACGAGTGTTCATTACATACTGCACTGAAAAAGGACTGATTGTGGACAACATACTGCAAAAAACAAAAGGTGAAATTGCTGAAATTCTGATCAACTTTTACGCTGAACTCCGAAGAAAAAATGGTGAATTGTATAGTAGATCTTCCATGATCAGCATTAGGTTTGGTTTGCAGAGATTTTTCCAAAAAAATAACTATGACATTATTAATGACCCAGATTTTCGTCTATCAAACGAAATGTACAAGGCAGTTTTGACAAACATCAAACAAACTGGAAAGGGAACCACTCAACACAAGGAAATTATCAGCGATGCTGACATGGCAACATTGTATAGTAGCGGCGTCCTAAACGGAAACAGTCCACAGGGATTGCAATATAAAGTTTTTCTTGATGTGATGTTCTACACATGTAGAAGAGGAAGGGAAAATCTGAGAAGTATGAAGAAAACTGATTTTGTTTTGAGGACAGATGGCCAGGGAAGGAGATATTATCTTAATGTCGCTCAGTATGAAACCAAAAATCACAGAGGAAGTGACGTGAATGACCATGATGCATCTTCAGCAAGAATATATGAAATACCAGGTAATATACTTCTTGAAATAGTTACATATAAAATAAAATTAATGTAAACTTCAGTATTAACTAATTTTAGATCATATATTTGTCTATGTGACATAATTTTCATGAATTCAACTGATTTACAATTTTTCATATTAATATGTCCATGTAATGAGACGTGTCCTGTGTCTAGTCTGGAGAAATACCTCGGAAAGCTGAATCCAAATTGTGAAAGTTTTTGGCATGCAGAGACCGAAGCGCCATATCAATGATTCAGATGCTGTTTGGTATGACATTTCTCCAGTAGGTCATAATACTTTGGGAAATTTTATGAAAACAATATCTATGAAAGCCGAACTCTCAACTCTGTATACAAACCATTGCATACGTGCCACGTGTATTACTAGTTTGGATCAGCGTGGGATAGAAGCTCGACACATCATGTCTGTCAGTGGACATAAGTCCGAAACTTCCATAAAAAGCTATTCAAGATGTGTAAGTGAAACAAAAAAGCAAGAAATGTTTGATGTATTGTCATCTGTGGTTTACCCATCACCAAAGCTAGGGCTAGAAAACCCAGTTGTTCCAACAAATTCTTGTATCAGCATTTCAGAAAGTCAGCTCTTAAATTTGAATAACTGTGAATTTGAGACTGTCAGTACCGAACAATTGCTATCTAAAGTCCTACATGATGAAAATGGTTCAGATTTGTTTGCAAATGTTCCAGAAGAAAAGGAGAATGTTAAAGTTGACCAAACGCCTCAAAACTCTTGTGGCCCATTATCCAAAAATGTCGGTCAAGTGCACATTCACTATTACATGGGAAAAGAACAACAAAAGTAAAGATGCTGTAATGTTCTTTATTGGACTCTGTAAATCATTTAATGATTCTAAGATGTGTTTTTTCACTTTTCAATTGAACATTCAAATTCAAAGTTATTGCTGCTTAAATCGTTATTTCAGAATATGCATTATTCTGTTGAAATAAAATGTTACATATGTCTTAAAATTTATTACTATTATTATTGTCGGTATAATAAAACAATTGATCACCCTTCATGAGGTCAGCATATATAGTGAAATGATGCCCCTTGACCTGACCCACTCGATGACCTGACCTGACCTCGGCCGTTAGCCTCGGTCAGGTCAGGTCACCTCGTGGGTCAGGTCACGGGGCAACATTTCACCATATAGTTTTACATATCTTACATGGCAATATTGGAAACAAGAAATCCTCTTACGTAGTCATTTTAGATCACAATTCAACAATTTTATCACCACAAAATCTTCTCCTTTGCATACCAAGGTATATTATCGTAATACATGTATGTAGTTATAAAGTCTTTCTAATTAATGTGAATATGTAGATTTGTTTCTAAAATATATTGTCTGGACTCAAAACATTTGGCTACTCCAATATCATGAATATGGGATTCCCGCTAGGTAGTGCTATAAAACCTTTGCTTTTCGAAGATTAATTATTTACAATATAAAACTTTATTCTGCTAACAGGACTCCCTCTGGAGGGCATCAAATGTAAAAAAAAACATCCCAAAAGTCTCCTGGTCCAGTTCTGTACCCCGTGTGGTGTTCCCTTGTGTGTGGAGTGTACCAGCTCTGAGGATCACAGCAGACATGACCTTAGAAATATAGAGAAACTGTTTGAAAACATTCACAGGATAAAAGGTAAGCAAGTTTGAAATTTTATGCATGTAGCCACTGGAATATATTTTGAATATTTGACTATCTGTCTGTTTTATTTATCATATAAAAAAATATATAACAATAAACTTTAGTGACCTGTGCCAAAGGTCAAAATGATAATTTTCTGATCAAACTTTGAAGGCCATCCATTTAATTTTCTGCCTTGTTGCCTGTAGGTTTGTTTGCAACAAAAGTTTGGGAGGTACAGAAAAGTCACCTTGTCCATCTGTCTGTCTAGCTGTCCATTTGTCAGTCTGTGTAATCATGCCCAGGCCATAGCTCTATAATGAGGAAACACTGCAAGCTTATACTGGGAGCAATGATTCTGCATCTTGACCTTGACCCAAAATCACTTTAGCAATTTCAAAGTCACTTGCAGAAAATGTTTACCAAGAATTCCTTAACCTGTATTTATTGCCTCAAATTCATTTGAACAAATTAAAGGTCACTAGCAGAAAATGTATTATTTGGGTACCTTACATAACTTTCAAATGGATAAACATTGGAAGTTTATACTTCACAGAAAACTTTCTTAGGATTTGAGAACATAAACTTCCAATGTTTATCCATTATCCATTGTTTACATGTCGGCATTTTAAATGCTTATGTTCACGAAATGTCAAATCTTGCTACTCCGAAATTTGTTTTACTAGATTTTTAATAGAAATGAATTATACTTTCGTAGTACTTAATACGATTAACCAATTCACTTGCACTGTATATGAGAAATTTGTACAATTTATAAGATATGTTTATTTGAATGTTTAACACTTGAAACTGTCATGCCCCAATCCTGTAGTACTTTCAGTACTCTGATTACTTTAAGACTTTGCTTTCTTTATGGATTAAATTCGTTGAGATGATCCTTGTCATCTTTGATTATCTATTTCTTTTTAATTTTGTAGATGGACATATATTTCTGATGTGCCTTCTTCTTTCCAAATCCTACAAAATAAACATCAAAGAAAGAAATTGGATGACCAAATATAATGCCGTTGCCAACAGTTTCCATGCCAAGGAAGTCACAAAGCCATTCGCTCCTACAGATTTAGAAAAATACAAACCAGTTCTGAAATTCAATGAATCGGAAATCAGTTTTTCCACTGAGTTCTTCAAAGATATCAGTTTCCTGAAATTTTCAAAGAATTCAGAATTTCTTGATATTTTCTTGACTTGGGCAGAAAAAGGAAACATCTCTGAGTACTGTAGATCATGGAATTATCAAAGAAGAGAAAATGAAGTCTGCTGTTGGTTGCTGCCAGAAAAAACAGAGGAGTTGTTAGGAAGACTTGGGGAAGATATTTTCACGCACCCAACAATGGAGGACCAGTCATTCCATGAAGCCGTATTTAGAAAATGTAGGTCTACTTTCAGTGCACCTAACATAATTCTTTAAAAATAATTAAAGGCAGACGTTTGTCTGAATGATCAATAGTATCTATTAGCAAAATTTTGTTAATTAACGTCAAGAAAAAGAATTCTAATATATTTCTTTTTAAGATGAAACATATACATAATCATACTTTGACTAATTTGTTTAAGTATAATAATACTAGAGTTTTTGTCTCTTAGTCGGTGTACCAATTCAGGTAATAATGAGGGGAGACAAATCTGTCAAACTTTTCATTGAAAATCTAAGAAAAGGGAAGACCATGATGTACCACGCCTCTGGGATGATAATCGGATGTGCTGGTAGTGGGAAAACAACATTACTACAAAGACTTAAAGGCATCGATCTGAAAGAAATAAAGAAAAACACCAATTCAACCAGGGGAGTTGATATCCACACTGATGTCTTTGAAGTAACAGATAACATCCATGGTATGCTTTATTCATTGTCTTCATTGATCGTGATAAGTTGCTATTTATATAATAGTGTTGTGATTTGCATGCACTATGCCTAAGAAGTAGTCAGGGTTTGACATTTGGTGCAGGAAACGGAGGCAAGTGCACTATGTGTCAAACCCTGACTACTTTTTATGCATAGTGCATGCAAAACAAAACAGCATCAAATGTAATTTTTTTGATGACTGTTCTATAAAAAATGAGATTTTTTTTTAAGTTTACCTGAGCCCAAGGCTCAAGTGAGCATTTCTGATGACGTTTTGTCCGTCATCCGTCTGTCTAGCTGTCGAAGTTTAACATAGGATTATATAGAAAATGTATTTAAAAATCTTCTTCTCAAGAACAGCAAAGCCATGATTAGTCATATTATAATAGAAGTATCCTCAGGTAGTGTAGTATAGCCACTAACCAAAAGGTTAAGGGTGAAACGATATGTAAATTTAGGATATTACTTTATTTCCCTTAAGTTACAGTATCTGGTGATGTCAAAGTTAAATAATTGATACAGTACTAAGGTCTACCAGATGGCTTGGCTATATCACATTGTTATTAATCCCTTTGAAGTATAATTAGTTAATCTCTCAAGTCAATTAAGTTGCCTAATTATCTATTCTTAAGGCATGACAGGTGTGACAACAATTATCACTCTACCTGTGCATGTCACCTATTCATTCATTGACAAGCCAATCTGAGTAAATCAAATAATTACTAGATTTACTCTATAACAAAATATATTGAATAAAGAATAGTATTTGGGACAGAGAACAGTTAGTCAGAGTTAGTGATAGAGAGAGTTAGCTTGATTTAGGGCATGCAGCTAGCAGACCCAGTCTTAGATGTGTATATATAATGTACATATTCCTGTTATAAAGACTGGAAAAGACATTTCTACTTATGTCTTAATCCTTGAAGGTTTTATGTCAAGGACAGTAACCAAGTCTTATGGTTACTGCGTGACCAAGTGTTGTAGGGTGCACTACTCATTCCGGGTGGACCCCTACCCTCCCCGAGCGGCGGTCACAGTAGACTCAAGTTTGTTCCAATCATGACCCCTGGGGGTAGGGCAGGGCCACAACAGGGGGGGGGGTCAAAATTTACCCTAGGAATATTTAAAAAATATCTTTTAAAAAAAATCTTTTTAAGAACAGCTAAGCCATTATTAGTCATATTGATACAGAAGTATCCTCAGGTTGTGTAGATTTAAGGGGGCCAACTGGAGTTTTCATTGCGCAATACTTTGTGCAGCATAGTAAAATAAATCGTATTTACTGTTTTAAAGCAACTGTTTTTTACATAATTTATAAAAATTAACAAATTTAGGAAATCTCAGGTTAAAAAAATCTAATTACATTTTTAAATATCTGATTTTTTAAACGATTTTTCAAATGATGGGTAGATAGACGTCGTAATACTAGTAGTGTGCTTTGGACGTTATGAATAACCGAAGTTCTTTAAGCGGGGTCATTAACTATGTCATAAAATAAAAAGTATTAAATAGATGCTCTTGAAATTTTACACATAGAAAATTGAGAATCTCACAATCATTTGTTTTAATGTAAATTTGTGGTATCCATCATGTTTTGTTGTACTCCATAAAAACAGGAATTATAAAATGTCATGAATTTTGACATTTTGTGATACCCCCTGTGGAAACCAGACGGTAGAATTTCGTATTTTTTGCATATAATGTACAATAAATTATTACCCATGAAATAATATAATTGGAGCAAAAAGTCTTTAGTAGCATTTGTATTATTTTTTCCGAAGTGCGAAAAAAAATGGTATTTTCCTATATAATCCGATAGTTAATGTACCTGTATTTTGAGATGGTCCCTTAAAAATAAACAGACGGTAGATTTTCACTAAACTTGGTATGTATACTTAAGTCAATGTAAGGTACATATGGTATAAAATTAAAGAGTTTCTCTATAGTAGTTTTCACACAATAAAACCCCAGTCGGCTCGCTCAAATTTTATCAAATCATGAGGGTAGGGCAGGGCCACAGCAGTGGATCAAAGTTTACATAGGAATATATAGGTGTAATGGTGAAGGGGCATTTAAGTAAAACGAATTGAAGACTTCAAATAGTGGAATGACCTGACAACACTTGAAATGGACTAGCCTAAGGTTATATAAGGCAAAGTTTTGGGAAAATCAGGCTTTCAGATGGTATCTTAAGAAGTTGGATGTTGAATCAGCGATAAAGAAATTAAGGTATTCAATCCTAATAGCAAAAGAGTCAATGAAATTGAATACATAACAGATGTGTAAGTGTTGAATACTCAGCATTTTTATGCCCCGCCATGAATATGGCCGGGGCATGTAGTGTTTGTCATGTCCTTCTTCCGTCCTTCCGTCTGTCCTTTCGTCGTGCTTTGCGTTTAGCTCAGTTCAAAGGTCAGTTTCAAAGAAACTATCCAAGATATTGTCAACAAACTTCATATGCCGATAGATATTGAGGAGAGCTATGCAACTGCATCAACATTTTTGGACCTTGACCTTTCCTTTGACCTTGACCTCACTTTTCCTAAATTAATGTTTAGCTCAGTTTTAAAGATACCATTCAAGATAGTGTAATCAAACATCATGCGTTGTTACATAATGATGAGAGCTATTCAAATGCATAAACATTTTTGGAACTTGACCTTTCCTTTTACCTTGACCTCACTTTTTATTAAATTAGTGTTTAGCTCAGTTTTTAAGAAACCATTCAGGATAGTGTTATCAAACTTCATATGCTGATACATACTGATGAGAGCTAATCAGCTGCATTAACATACTTGATCTTGACGTTTCATTTGACCTTGACCTCACTTTTATCAATTTATGTTTAACTCAGTTTTCAAGAAACCATACATAATATTTTTATCAAACTTCATATGCTTATACATACTGATGTAAGCTTTACAACTGCATCAACATTTTTTGACCTTGACTTTTCCTTTGACCTTAATTTCATTTATTTTAAATTAGTGTTAAGCTCAGTTTTAAATAAACCATTCAAAATATTTTTATTAAACTTAATATGCTGTTACGTATTTGTGAGAACTATTCAACTGCATCAAAAATTTGTTGACCTTTTGCTTTCCTGTGACCTTGACCTCACTTTTCTTAAATTTGCATTTTGCTAAGTTTTAAAGAAATCATTTAAGATATATTTATGTAAGCTTATGCACTTATATATAATTTGGTGAGAATTTATCATCTATATCCAACTTTTTAGATTTCAATTTTAAAGAAACTATTCAAGATATTCTTATCAAATATCATACACTTAAACAAATTTTCATGTTGCATTACTAATATACCCTCGGCGGGGCATTCATGTCCTATGGACATACATGTTTTCTAGTTTAGATGTAATTCCCATTTATTACTATTAGAATGTAAGGGTGGGATGTGTCCTAATATATGACCTCGAATTTCGCTAAGAGTTATTTCCCTGTTTTAAATTAATAAAAAAATCAATTTTAAAAAACTTTTTCGGTAAAAAAAAAAATCCTTTTCAATTGTCATTCTATTTCTTATGTGTTTTAGAACATTTTTCCACTACATTATTTATTGATATTATTATTATTATTTGAATTTTTATTTAAAAAAAAAATTGCACCATAGACTTCAATGCAATCTTTGTTAAGTACTGCTTAGTTAATTATATTATTTGAAACTTTCTCTTGGTAAATCCTTTTCTACTGTAAATTGCTTCAAATTAATATCAGAGTATTATGTATGTGATGGACATCTGAGGATAAAGGATAGAAAACCTCATGGGTAAGAGCAAGAAAAAAAAAGCATAAAAGTTATATCCTGGGAAACTAATGTTAAGTTCTGGGTGTAGTAAATCTGAAGAAGATTGAGACAACTGGTTCTTATCTATTAATGGATACCAAGGGGAGAAACACGGTGCAAGTAGTACCTTACCCAGTCCCCATCTCTAGATAAAAGAAAATTTAAGTAGTGTGTGATATACCCTCAGACAGAGCTGTCTTAATAATCATTCCAATCATTAAATCAGACAGAGTAAAAGGAAAACCAATATATCCCTTGTAAGAACCTGATCATACAATTTACATAGGAAATATCTTTAAAATATTCTGCTCAAGAACAACAAAGCCAATATTAGTCGTATTTATACACAAGCATCCTTAGGTATTGTAGAATCAAGTTTGTTCAAATTATGACCCCCCAGGGGTAGGGGCAGAACAGAGGGTCAGAGCTTTGAATAACAATATGCAGGAATCATCTTTTGCTCAAGAACAGCAAAGCCATGATTATATTGTTATAGAAGCACCCTCAGGTAATGTAGATTCAAATTTGTTCAAATTTAGAGGGGGGTAGGATGGGGCCACAATGAGCAATCAGAGTTATACATAGGAATACATTGTAAGGTCACCTTAGTTACTCAGGTGGCCTATTGCTATCTGTATTCGTCCGGCGTCGTGACATGTGCGTCATCTGTTAACATTTGAATATTTTCACCTTTTTCTCTCGAATCACTGAATCAATTTTTTACCAATCTGAGCATACAGCATATATGAGTGAAGAGAAACAAAATATGTGAATTTCATGATCCCTGCCTCATTGGGGCTTTAAGGGTGCGGCTTAATTAAACCATCAAAATAAGTGCTATCATTAAAAATCTTCTTTACTCCTGGGCATCCAGCAATGGAACTGTTGTTAGGATTGTTATAAACATTGAGTCCTCTACCTAAACTGAGAAATTCATGTCCCCTAGGTACGGAGTTCTGGTGTTAGGACAGGGCTCTATTGATTATAATACATAGTGAAAATGCATTAAATATTCCTCTTGGGTATTAAAGAGACTAACTAAGTACATTGATGAGCAAGGGTGTTTTTTTTTTCAAAAAATTGCAAAATTCATTGCCCCAGGAATGAGCTCTGGTGAAAGGGGGTGGGTCTATTGATTATATAGTGAAAAGGCATAATTTCTTTGAAATTATGAGTGATGAAAATA